ATATATACATAAATACATAATATGTCCTGATAAAGGTAGCAGTATTGACATTATGCTGACGACATTGTTTTCGAGAGATATTTCCGGATCGAACCCATGAACTTGGGTGCTATAAAGAACCCGAGATCGGGAATTAAAAAGTTAAATTAAACATGATAAAATCCATACAATTAGTTTTATTTTACCATTAAGTCACTTAAAGTTTTAAGTACCCGGATGACCTAGCTTTGCTCGGTTTTTTGGGAAATTACATTTAGATACAAATTACATACTGATGAATAATATTTTTTTGATCTTATTGACATAATAGAAAAAAACTGAACTGGTTATTTGAATAAAAAATCATGAGTGCAATTAAATTAATTAAAATTTTCGTATTTTTAAAAAAATACTAAAAAATGGCTCGAAATAACAGATTTCTTTTACAAAAGAAGGGAACTTGAAAAAAACAGGAAAAAAAATCGGACCGAGGACAGGACATGAACCAAGGCATTACGATATCGCGACCGCCCGATACCCACTTCAGCTATTACGATCATTAACACAGTGTCAAAATTTACCTTCTTATATTGTAGCAGTTTTTCATTGCCTGAAAACACGGACAAAAAGACATTTTCTAAAAATAAATACCAGCTAGATCGATTTATTGCCCTCGAAACTCCCTGGACACTAAATTTTATGAAAATCGTTGGAGCCGTTTCCGAGAGTCCGATTATATATATACAAGAATTGCTCGTTTAAAGGTATAGGTAATAAATTGCAACTAGCAAGTTCATTAGACTTTTCTAATTTCAAGAAGAATGTCCTTTTAACATTAAAAAATACGACATCAAATACAGAAAAAATTTCCTAATTCGCTTCTACTTATTTAGTATGCGGTAAAGCGTCAAGCACTGTAAATACATTAGACTAAAAAGCTTGTTAACATTTGGCTTACATACCAAAGTTAAAGTGTAAAGCGTATTTCTCAGGGAGGAATTTCTAATTTGTGCTGTACATTTTAAAACATGAAGCAAAACACCTTGTGAAAATATGTTAATAACTAGTCTGGCCATAAATTAAGTTGACAATTTTAAAGTATTGTTTTTTTTTTCTAATTTTTGAATGCGCACATTATGTAATAAACTTCAATTTGACGTCGTTTCATTTACCTATTATTTTTCTCCATGATATAATAATTGCACGAAGCACGAGTTCACAATCAACAAAACATAGAAATGTGCAGTAACGTTCGAAATTATAGCCATATTAAACGATTTAAAGTCTGTGTAGTTTGTACATTAATGGTCCATTTCCACTTGTCGGACGTCGGACCCGACCGCGTTGGGTGCTCTAGTTGGCAGAATGTTTTATATAGAACTGGTTGCACTTATCCGATACTAATTCTTTGTCGACTCCAAGAAGTTTTATTGGATTAATGGAACACCAACCAACATATAGTGAATTTTTGTCGAGAAAGTGACCATCTTTGGATTGCTGCTTATTATCGTTTAAATAATGATTTGTAATTTTTCCATGTGTAAAAGTGATACAATTTTGGGTATTAAAAATGTCTATGCATGTGAACGAGAAACGAGAAAATAACTGCTGCGATGGCGATGTAAACCTAAAGTTATTTAGTCCGCTATATAAGCTCTAGCTTTAACAACTTAACTTACTTACTTAACTTAGAATACTATCGTCATCGATTGTCTGCTGGCTTAAGCTATCATCAAAATCTTTTTCACAATTGTGCATCAACATCATCATTACAACCCTTCACAAGTCCACTGCTGAACATAGGCCTCCCCCAAGAAATGTTACGAAGCACGGTCCTGAGCCACCTGTATCCATCGGCCTCCTGCAGACACGGATACCAGGTCGTCACTTCATCAAGTGGGGGGTCGCCCTACACTTCGCCTACCGGTACGAGGCTGCCAATCGAGAACCTTTTTTCCCCATCGGTTGTCGGTTCTTCGAGCTATATGGTTGGCCTATTGCCACTTCAGCTTACTAATCCGTTGGGCTATGTGGATATCCTTCCTTATTTCTAAGTTTATCATGCAGAGAAATTCCCATTATAGCCCTCTCCATAACTCACTGAGCGACCTTGGGCGTCCTGATACGGCCAGCGGCAAAGGACTACGTTTTTTATCCATAAGTCATCACAGTAACACGCACTGGTTGTACTATCTCGTTTTCATGTTTTAAGGTATACCTGACGAAAAGATGTGTCGCAATTTTCCAAACGCTGCCCAGCCGGGTTAAATCCGTCGATTGACTTTCGGTTGAAGTTGAACTTACGTAGTCGGACTATTCGTCCCAGGTAAACATACTCGTCAACAACTTCAAGCTTAATGAACTATACTGGAGTAGGTGTGACATGGATGTTACATATGATCTTTGTTTTGTCTATGTTCATCTTAAGACCTATTGGAAGACACTATTGAAGTCATTGAGCATAGTGTTTAGGTCCTCCAGCAATTCTGGCATAAGGACTATATCGTCGGCAAATCGAAGGTGAGTGATGTACTCGCCATTGACATTAATACCTTATCCTGTCCAGTCCAGTAGCTTGAAAACGTCTTCCAATGCAGCGGTGAAGAGTTTCGAGGATAAAACATCACCCTGTCTTATACCTCTCTGCAGTTGGATAAATTCTGTACTCGGATAGCCATCGAAGCCCAATTGTACAATCACTTCAGCACTTCAATATACCGACTGTCAGCTTGGCACTGGTGAGAGGACTGTAGAACCGCCCAAATTTTGACGGAATCAAAGACTTTCTCATAGTCCACATACACTAAGTTCTAGAAGAGCCACCGCAGAAGAACACAAAAACTCTCCAATCACACTCTTAATCTCATGGTTGTAAGACGGGAAATGAAGCTGCAGTCTTCAGCAGTTATGATAGTATACAGGCAGCTGAACAGACGGATATCCAAATGCATGCGGCGGGACTTACGCAACTCCAATACAGCTCGTATTGAAGAAGCGATAGAGCGAAACCAAGGCTCCAAAGTCTTTGTCAGAGATAAAGAGCCAACTGTCGAAGCTGACGACCGAGAGTGGCAGCATCGTTTCCGGGACACCTGAGATTATGATTGAGACTGAGAGGTTCCATGGGTAGCTGTACACGTAATTGTTGGAGCCACATGCAAGTGTGAGTACCGGTCAATTAGAACTATTCCGATGATATCCCGGACGTCAGTCTGAGCGAGATTATAGTGGCTCACCAGCATCTTAAAAATGGCAAGGCCCCATACGAGCATGAAATTAAAGCGCAGCTTCTGAAAGTGAGTAGTAAACAGGCACTTGAAGTCCTTCAGAAGCTCTTCAATTCCGAAAGCAGCAGCAGAAGATGGAGCAGAAGTGCGGTGGTCTTGTTTTTCAAGAGAGGCGACAACGCCCTCTTGAAGAACTATTGACCGCTTTCCCTTCTGAGTCGCGCCTACTTGCTGTTTTCCAGAGTGATTACGAATCGTCTCGCACGCAGACTCGACGACTTCCAGCCTCTCGAACAAGCAGGTGTCCGAAGAGGCTTCAGTACCTAGACTACCTACATACATGTCGGCAAATTTTTCAGAAGATCGAAGAGTACAATCTGCCACTTTGCCTTGCGTATGTTGTTGATGCATCAACGTAATGTGAAGAAATTTGTATCATACATTATATGTTTTTATCTAAAGTGTTTGATGTAGTATTTTTGGCTGAGGACCTTATATTCAATGCCAGAATAATGAGGAAAAATTATAATAGTGTCGTACTACAACTGGATGTGAGGTTGTATGTACTATCTAACGTTTTTGCTATTATTCGGTTTGTTGTATATTAGTTTTAATGTCAATTACACTTTCAATGTCTACTTAGTTTTAGTACAGTTTGATTACAATGTCGACTTAGTTCTAGTACAGTCTGATTACATATTATCACATTCTATTATTAATTAATATTCCGTTTTAACAGTCAAAATATTAAAAAAATATTCTTCTGTTAATATTAGGGATCTAATAATTGTGCCCTACTTTTTAAATTGTAATTCAATCTTCTGTCTATATTCTACTAAAATGTGGAAACAATTTTTAATAATGTTTATATGTGTTGTTTTTGTTTGGATGTCGGTCAGTACAAGTTATAACTTATTGTTGTTGTTACTATTCGGTTTTTTGGGTGTTAGTTTTAATATTAGTTATTTTTACAATGTCAATATAGTTTTAGTACAGTTTGATTACAAATATTATTACACTTTATTATTTAATATTCTGATAACAGTAAAAATATTCAAAAAATATTTTTCTTTTAATATTAGGGATCTCATTGTGCCCTACTTTTTTATTTAAATTCAGTATTTTATCTACATTCTCCTAAACTGTTAAAATCCTTTTTAATATCGTTTATACGTGTTGTTTTTATTTGGATGTTGGTCAGTACAGGTTATAATTTATTGTTGTTATTACTCGGTCTGTTTATTCTTTTAATATTCGTTATACTTTTAATGTCAACTTAGTTCTAGAACAGTTTGACTACAAATATTATTACATTTTATTAATTAATATTCTGATAACAGTAAAAATGCTAAAAAATATTTTGTTGTTAATATTAGGGATCTCATTGTGCCCTACTTTTTTTTTATTTTAATTCAATCTTTTGTCTACATTCTGCTAAACTGTTGAAATCCTTTTTAATATTGTTTATACGCGTTGTTTTTATTTCGATGTTGGTTAGTACAAGTTATAACTTATTGTGTTCTTACTTTTCCCTATATTTTTTATTTAATTTGTTTCAAAATTTAAGACATTACATTATATTATATAGCAATGGCTAGATATAAAAGTTTTAGAGTTGGTCTCTATAATGCTGGGTCAATAAGAAGCAAAATAGACGAGTTTCAGGTTGCCTTACAACGTGACTCTGCTGACATTATGGCAATTAATGAAACATGGTTGCAGACAGGTGACGATGTAAGTGCCCCATTAGTTCCTGGATATAGCTTCCGTCATATTCCTCGATCGTGTAACATGTCAAGAACTAGGGGTGGAGGTGTAGGTTCCTATATTAGACGATGGGTAAGTGCTCGTTCCTGTCAACATATTAACATATTTACTGAAGTTGAGCAACAACGGATATTGGTAACCATAAAAAGGACTAGAATATTAATTGGTACAGCATTTCGACCACAATGGGTCAATGTGGATAATTTTCTTGATTCTCTCACCGACACTTTAACTTCACAATCCAACTTTGATTATTTTATATTATTAGGCGATTTTAACATTAACATTTTGGATACTAATGACAGTAAATCTCTACGTCTTAAACAATTTCTGACCTATACTAATTCAAGTAACTGTATTTCAGGACCTTACACACTTCACACGAGACAGTGCAACGTTAATTGATTTAGTTATCACGGATATACGTGTTACAAATACACTTGTTAAACATACACCAGAATTAGGAGGGCACGCTTTTATTTTGGTTGACTTCAATTTTAAAAAACCTAAGATAGCACAAATACAACAATGAAAATTATAAGACCTATTAAAAGTATCAATATGCTTGCTTTTCTATCAGATCTCGAAGCTATAAATTGGGATACTATCATAGGGTTTAGCTGTGTCGATCAAATGGTATCTGAGTTTTCCAAAAAAATTTTAGAATTATTTGATAAGCATGCTCCTGAGAAATTAGTAACGTTTAAAAAAAGACAACTGCCATGGTTCACTAGTAATGTTCGGTACATGATGCAACTGCGTGACAGCGCTCATAATAAGTATCGACAAACAAAAGCTGAAAGTGATAAAACTCATTACAAATCTCTTAAAAGACTAGCTAATAGTTGTCTTAATACTGAGAAGAAAGCATATTTTGACTATCATATTAATCGGAACCTACATAAAGCAAACATTTTGTGGAAAAACTTGAAATCGGTTGCATTGCCTTCATTTAAAAATTCTAACAATTTACCAGACCATTTTAATGATCCTGATAAAATTAACCACCACTTTCTTAATATTCCGGACATAAGCAATACTGGTTCGTCTTATGCTAAATTCTTTAAAAGTTCTAAATATAACTCAAACACATTAAAGTTAATGCCAGTCCATGAAACTGTAGTTGCAAAAGTTATTATGGCTATCAAGTCGAACGCACAAGGGGTTGATCGAATTAGTATGGAAATGATACTTTTGACACTACCACAAACATTAAAGGTTATAACAGCAATAATTAATAGGTCTATCACAGAATCAATTTTTCCTTCTCAGTGGAAAACCGCACTAATTCGTCCCGTACCAAAAAAAGAAAATGCAGTTGATTTAAGCGACCTAAGGCCTATTAGCACTTTACCATATTTATCAAATATTGGAAAAAGTTGTACACTTTCAAATAGTATACTTTTGTGAACTAAATAAAATACTACCTAAGTTACAATCAGGGTTTAGGAAGAGTCATGGGACCTACAGCCCTTATAAATTTTGTAGATGACGTGCTGTCTTTTTCGGATTCCGGCAAAGGCACGATCCTTACTCTTTTAGATTTTTCAAAATCATTCGATTCGATAAATACGGATTTGTTAATAGATAAACTATCATATTACGGTTTTCATAACGGGGCATTGGTGTCGTTTAAGAGTTATCTCATTAATCGTCTACAACAAGTTATAATTAACAGGAATGATGGCGAAAGCTATGTTTCCCAATTTCTTCCTGTCAATAAAGGTGTCCCTCAAGGATCTATTTTGGGCCCTTTGCTTTTTATCATTTATAGTTCCAATATAACAGCATGTCTTGAAAATTGCAAATACCATATTTATGTCGATGACCTACAGGTGTATATTAGTGTATATAGTAAAAATGTAAATACAGCGGTAGATAAGTTAAATGAGGATCTTCAACGCATTAGTTCTTGGTCACAAAATAACTCCATGCTCCTTAATCCAACAAAATCTAAGTTTATTATTATAGGTACTAAAAAGCAGGTAAAGGACATAACTTCTACTGATCCTAACGTACGTATTGATGGGAAAAACATTGAACGACTTTCTGAAGTACGAAATCTTGGGGTTCTTATGGACATTTATTTAAAGTTTGAAAATCATGTAATTAATGTCGTAAAAGGTTGTTTTTTCCGATTGAAAGTTTTATATTCAATCAGGCAGTTTATCACTGTAGACTTACGTGTTAAATTATGTGAAACCTTAGTTCTGTCTAAACTAAATTATTGTATAATTATTGTACTTTGTATGGACCTTGCCTATTTAAAAAATCAAAAAATTTAATTCAAAGGGTACAAAATGCTTGCATTCGTTACTGTTTTTACATCGCAAGACGAACACATGTTACACCTTACCTTAATGCCTCTAATATGCTTAAAATGCAAGAACGTCTTCAATTATTTTATGCATCCCTGCTATTTGGAGTGATAAAAACAAAGAAACCAGAATACCTATATGAAAAGCTTCAGTGGAGACAAAATCAACATATGTACGGTATCCGAAAGTGTGCAAAAGTACTTTGCATACCTCAACACAGGGCATCAGTATTTCGTGGTAGTTACAAATTTATGGCCACAAAATGTTGGAATTATCTTCCACCACCATTACGAGTCATAACAAATAAGAACAGTTTTAAGAGAAAATACAAAGAGTATTTATTAAGTACGCAGAAAATGTCTTAAATATAAAAAAATAATTCGGCAGCGGCTGAATATATGCAATTATGTAACTTACATTTACTACCAATATTCTTTTTAATAACCATTACGTTGTTCTAGCATAATTATTATAATTAGTCTGAATAAATAAAACACTACTGTAACTCTTACTTTTAATACTATTATTTTTTTTTTCATGTTTTTGTTTATATTACGTTTATATTTTGTTTATGTTATGTTTTATCTCTTGTACATGTATATTAATTATCAAATTATTAATAGAAATATTATGATAACTTGTACTGGTTAATTATATAGTTCTTGTACTGGCTGAATGAATAAATAAATAATTTAACACTAAAAGCTATTTGTAATATAATCGGTGATGTACGCGTACTGTTATACTTTAGCTCACTAAGTAGGTATATGGGTGCTGACAGAATAACAGCGTTGTAGATTCTCTGCAACACATGCTGAGTCAGAACCCTTTCATTGCCCTTCTAAAAATATTATTTTTGTATTAGTTCAACTTTTAAATATTTTATTACTTTTGGTCAATGAATAAATATATTATTATTATTGTGGGGTATCTATATAGTTTTCTCATCTGGTTGGGTTCTATAAATATATAATTATAAATGAAAATGAAAAGATAAATATACATAAATATCAATAACATAAAATAAATATAAAAGTACATAAATAAATAAAAGCCCAACCAGATGGAGGCCCTCGGCAGGGGAGACCAAACGGCCGAGGGTTAGGGGGAAAGGGAAAGAAACCGGCGGACGATGCGGGCGGTATCGAGGAGCACCGCCTTCTGCATTTGAGCCTGGAGCGGTCCGCCACGTAGTCCCAGCCGCCTCAGATGACCCGAGAGGCTGACTGGGATAAGCCCGTTTGCAGAGACGACTACAGGAATAATTTCGGTCGGCAGACCACCCCACATGTCGGTCACCTCGTGAGCCAGGTCCAGATATTTTGTTTGCTTGTCTGTTTCGGCTTTCACGAGGTTCTCGTCATACGGAATGGTAATGTCGACCAAAAATATCCTTGACAGTGCCCGGTCCATCAGCACAATATCAGGCTTATTCGCAAGAATAGTCCTGTCTGTGATGATGGCCCGGTCCCAATAGAGCCTGGCGCGATCATTTTCGAGCACGGCTTCCGGCAAGTACTTGTAATACGGCAATTTCCGATCCACGAGACTGTATTTCAGAGCGAGCTCCTGGTGTAGAATTCTGGCTACTAGGTTGTGCCTGTGCAAGTACTCAGAGTTAGAAAGCGCCGAACAACCGGAGATAACATGCCTAAGTGACTCACCGGGATGGCGACAAGCTCGACAGATGTCGACGGTGCCATCCTTTAGGATGTATCTCCGATAGTTGTTGGTCTTAATAACCTGATCCTGTATTGCACAGACAAAACCCTCGGTTTCCCCCGAAGAGATCACCAAAGCGTAGCCAGTGGAGGGAGGCTACTGTGTCTACGAAAGGCTCATGTAGAGCCTTGTAGAACCTCCCGTGGAGCTCCTTCTCCTTCCATACGGTCTCCCGGTCGGAAATGCTCTGCACTGCCGGGTCTTGCCATTGCTCGTTGGCTAAGGATAGAGGGGTAAGTCCTTTATCACAAGAAATGACGTCCTTATAGAATGGATCGTCCGATCTCGCCAGGAAGTAATCACGGAGGCTGCACACTTCGCGATTATGCATGGTGAGCGCGCTCAAGAAGCCACGACCACCATGCTTCCGCGGCAAGTACAGCCTCATTACCGACGATCTCGGATGATGCATCCTATGGGACGTCATTGTAGTGCGGACTTTTCTATCCAGGGCGTTAAGTTCAGTCTGAGTCCACCTGAGTATGCCAAAGGTATACATGAGGACAGGCATGACCCAGCCGTTATATGCGTGTGCCTTATTCACACCGGACAAAAGGCTGTTAGGCACTTTGGTCAAGCGTGCATAAAACACGTCGCAAACTGACTGTTTCATACCAGTCTCATCGATACCGATGTTTTGTGGCATACCCAGGTATCGGTATGTTTCAGCCTCGGAAAGGGTCCTTAAGTTGACGGGCATAGATAAGTCTACGCCCTCAGAGTTAGCAACCCTTCCCCTTTCAACATGGAGGACCGCACACTTATCCGTCCCCAGCTCCATTCCAATGGAATTGCTAAATTCACAAGTGATGTTTAGCAATTCCATAAGATGGGAGCGACTGGAGGCGAATAACTTGAGGTCATCCATATAGAAAAGGTGCGTCACTTTTGTCCCTCCTTTCCGTAGCTGAAATCCCCTCCCGGAGCCCTCCAGTAAGGTACTGAGAGGGTTCAGAGAGAGGCAGAACCAGATTGGACTCAGACAATCGCCCTGGAAGATACCCCTTCTTATCCTTATGTGGTTCTCCGCAGCCATCATCCGCTCGCCCAGATGACAAAGGATCGTACTCCACTGCCCCATACACTGCTCGAGGAAGTCTTTAACTGTACAGTCTATCTTGTACAGCTCGAGGACTCTCTTTAGCCATGTATGGGGCACCGAGTCGAATGCCTTTCTGTAGTCTATCCAGGCGGCGGAGAAGTTCCGACGGTTGCGTTTCACCACTTTGCCAATGACCGCGTCAATGAGGAGTGGTTCCTTGGTTCCACGACCACCGCCCCCGACATCCATTTTGAGCGCGCGACATCACCTGATTTGAGTCCAGGTGACAAGTGATTCTCGCGCTCAAAATGGATGTTAGTGTCTTGTATATGGTCGGTAGACACGTGATGGGGCGGTATTTGCTCGGGTCTGTGGTACCCTGGTCTTTAGGAACCAAATGAGTGATCCCAGTAGTGAAGAGGCTTGGGAGCGACTTCTGGTTGAGAGCCTCTTGAAACTGTCGGGCGAGCACAGAGTGACACACCATGAACCCCTTCAGCCAGTAGTGATGCAGCCCGTCAAGCCCCGGACTTTTCCAGTTCGGGGCCCTACGGACCGCCTCAGCTACGTCATCCGGCGTTATGATGACGGGGTCCATGGGCGTAATACCCGCACACTGACTCGCCACAACTTCCGTCCAAGGGCCCTCGCTGTGGTTTACGGGCTCTGACCACAGGCCGCGCCAGAATGCTACAGTGTCGGCCTGATTCGGTGCTGGACCCGTTCCACTTACCATTGGTCGCTCCAATGATTCATAGAGCCTCTTCTGATCACTCTGGAAGAGACGATTCTGGTTGAACCGTGTCGACCTCTCGGTATATCGCCGAATCCGCTTTCCCCAAGCAGCGATTCTCTGCTTCAGATCATCTATGCGCTCCGTCAGTTTTTGCGTTATATCCGGCTGGGACAAACTGACATTTGTCCCAGCAAACGCCATCCTGACGGTGCGCACAATTCTTGGCCTGTTGTTGCCTGATCTGAAGCATATCAGTCTGCCGATGAGAGCTCTAGCCTTTGCGATACGTTCCTCAATTCTTCTTCTCCATGCTGGGATAGCGCTACTATGGCCAGTAGCGCGTCCAGCCGTGGAAACCTTGGCGCCTATGATACGGCAGACTGCCAGCGCGGCGCCAAAAAGAATTGAGTCCGTCTCGCAAAGGTCCCGGCTGGCTTCCAAATAGGTCACCAGCATTGGGTTCAGAGCCCTCACGACAGCCCGATTCCGCTTGCTTAGGGCTATGCGGGGAAGTCGCGGTCGATTTTCGAGAGGCGTACTGCGCGTTTCCACAATCGCCTCTTCCAATGTACTGCTCATATGCTCTAATTCCAGTTCCTGGGCGACTGTTCCATCATCGTTTGAATCAACCACAACTGGGGTATTCACGGCGGCATCCACGTTTGCGGGTTGCTCTACCATTTGTGGGAATGGCGCCGCATCCTCAGCCGTAGCATTCTCATCCGACGAGGGAACAGCCTCACGTCGTAGCCGTTCGAGTTCGGCGACATCAAATATATTTGAGCGCAAGATATACCGAACTCGGTCTGCCAGGTTTTGCTCTGTGACGATTAAAGATGGCTCCAGCTCAGCAAAAAGACGATGCATCCTAGCCCGATACGCCAAACATCCAGTTTCTTCCCCTTTTGCCCTAAAGTACGCCCGCAGTGCGTTTGCATTCATTTCTTGTGACCAACGCATGCGACGTGCTCCACCAGCGGCGGGTGCCGCTTGCTGAGTCCGAGAAGACCCAGCCGACACCAAGCCTTCTGGTGGGGATGATGGATGCGGAGGGCTGCTAGGTGACCTATTATTATTATTATGTGTGGGGTATCTATATAGTTTTCTCATCTGGTTGGGATGTATAAATATATAATTACAAATGAAAATGAAAGGATAAATATACATAAATATCAATAAAATAAAATAAATACAAAAATACATAAATAAATAAAAGCCCAACCAGATGGAAGCCCTCGGCAGGGGAGACCAAACGGCCAAGGGTTAGGGGGAAAGGGAAAGAAACCGGCGGACGATGCGGGCAGTATCAAGGAGCACCGCCTTCTGCATTTGAGCCCGGAGCGGTCCGTCACGGAGTCCCAGTCGCCTCAGATGATCAGAGAGGCTAACTGGGATTAGCCCATTCGCAGAGACGACTACAGGAATAATTTCGGTCGGCATACCACCCCACATGTCGGTCACCTCGTGAGCCAGGTCCAGATACTTTGATTGCTTATCTGTTTCGGCTTTCACGAGGTTCTCGTCATACGGGACGGTAATATCGACCAAAAATATCCTTGACTGTGCCCGGTCCATCAGCACAATATCAGGCTTATTCGCAAGAATAGTCCTGTCTGTGATGATGGCCCGGTCCCAGTAGAGCCTGGCGCGGTCATTTTCGAGCACGGCTTCCGGCACGTACTTGTAATATGGCAATTTCCGGTCCACGAGACCGTATTTCAGAGCGAGCTCCTGGTGTAGAATTCTGGCTACTAGGTTGTGCCTGTGCAAGTACTCAGAGTTAGAAAGCGCCGAACAACCGGAGATGACATGCCTAAGTGACTCACCGGGATGGCGACAAGCTCGACAGACGTCGACGGTGCCATCCTTTAGGATGTATCTCCGATAGTTGTTGGTCTTAATAACCTGATCCTGTATTGCACAGACAAAACCCTCGGTTTCCCCGAAGAGGTCACCGAAACGCAGCCAGTTGAGGGAGGCGACTGTGTCTACGAAGGGCTCATGTAGAGCCCTGTAGTACCTCCCGTGGAGCTCTTTCTCCTTCCATACGGTCTCCCGGTCGGAAATGCTAAGCACTGCTGGGTCCTGCCATTGCTCGTTGGCTAAGGATAGAGGGGTAAGCCCTTTATCACTAGAAATGACGTCATTATAGAATGGATCATCCGATCTCGCCAGGAAGTAATGACGGAGGCTGCACACTTCACGATTATGCATGGTGAGCGCGCTCAGAAAGCCACGCCCACCATGCTTTCGCGGCAAGTACAGCCTCATTACCGACGATCTCGGATGATGCATCCTATGGGACGTCATGGTAGTGCGGACTTTTCTATCCAGGGCGTTAAGTTCAGTCTGACTCCACCTGAGTATGCCAAAGGTATACATAAGGACAGGTATGACCCAACCGTTATATGCGTGTGTCTTATTCACACCGGACAAAAGGCTATTAAGCACTTTGGTCAAGCGTGCATAAAACACGTCGCAAACTGACTGTTTCATACCAGCCTCATCGATACCGATGTTCTGTGACATACCCAGGTATCGGTATGTTTCAGCCTCGGAAAGGGTCCTTAAGTTGACGGGCATAGATAAATCTATGCCCTCAGAGTTAGCAACCCTTCCCCTTTCAACATGGAGGACCGCACACTTATCCGTCCCCAGCTCCATTCCAATGGAATTGCTAAATTCACAAGTGATGTTTAGCAATTCCATAAGATGGGAGCGACTGGAGGCGAATAACTTGAGGTCATCCATATAGAAAAGGTGGGTCACTTTTGCCCCTCCTTTCCGTAGCTGAAATCCTCTCCCGGATCCCTCCAGTAAGGTACTGAGAGGGTTCAGGGAGAGGCAGAACCAGATTGGACTCAGACAGTCGCCCTGGAAGATACCCCTTCTTATCCTTATGTGGTTCTCCGCAGCCATCATCCGCTCACCCAGATGACAAAGGATCGTACTCCACTGCCCCATACACTGCTCGAGGAAGTCTCTCACTGTACAGTCTATCTTGTACAGCTCGAGGACTCTCTTTAGCCATGTATGGGGCACCGAGTCGAATGCCTTTCTGTAGTCTATCCAGGCGGCGGAGAAGTTCCGACGGTTGCGTTTCACCACTTTGCCAATGACCGCGTCAATGAGGAGTGGTTCCTTGGTTCCACGACCACCGCCCCGACATCCATTTTGAGCGCGTGACATCACCTGATTTAGCTCCAGGTGACGAGTGATTCTCGCGCTCAAAATGGATGTCAGTGTCTTATATATGGTGGGTAGACACGTAATGGGGCGGTATTTGCTCGGGTCTGTGGTAACCTGGTCTTTAGGAACCAAATGAGTGATCCCAGTAGTGAAGAGGCTAGGGAGCGACTTCTGGTCGAGAGCCTCTTGAAACTGACGGGCGAGCACAGCGTAACACACCATGAACCCCTTCAGCCAGTAGTGATGCAGTCCGTCGAGTCCCGGACTTTTCCAGTTCGGGGCTCTACGGACCGCCTCAGCTACGTCATCCGGCGTTATGATGACGGGGTCCATGGGCGTAATACTCGCACACTGACTCGCCACAACTTCCGTCCAAGAGCCCTCGCTGTGGTTTACGGGCTCTGACCACAGGCCACGCCAAAATGCGACAGTGTTAGCCTGATCCGGTCCTGGGCCCGCTCCACATACCTCTGGTCGCTCCAATGATTTGTAGAGCCTCTTCTGATCACTCTGGAAGAGACGATTCTGGTTGAACCGCCTTGACCTCTCGGTAAATCGGCGAATCCGCTTCCCCCAAGCAGCAATCTTTTGCTTCAGGTCGTCTATGCGCTCCGTTAGTTTCTGCGTGATATCCGGCTGGGACAAACTGATTTTTGTCCCAGCAAACGCCATTCTAACGGAGCGCACAACCCTCGGTCTATTATTACCCGACCTGAAGCTTATCAGTCTGCCGATAAGGGCCCTTGCCTTTGCGATACGGTCCTCAATTCTTTTTCTCCAGGCTGGGATGGCGCTACTTTGTTTAGTAGCGCGTCCAGCCAGGGGAAGTTTGGCGCCAATAATACGGCAAGCTGCCACTGCGGCGCCAAAAAGAACTGAGTCCGTCTCGCAAAGGTCCCGGCTGGCTTCCAAATAGGTTACCAGCATAGGGTTAAGAGCCCTCACGACAGCCCGATTTCGCTTGCTTAGGGGTATGCGAGGAAGTCGCGGTCGATTTTCGAGAGGCATGGTGCGCGTTTCCAAAATCGCCTCTTCCAGTATACTCCTCATTTGCTCTAGTTCGTGGGAGACCATTTCATCATCGTCGGAATCAACCACAACTGGAAGATCCATGGCAGCTTCTACGCGTGGCAGCTGGTCTGTCGCCTGAGGAGCCGCATCCCCAGCCGTAGCCAATTCATTCGATGAGGGAATGGCCTCACGCCGTAGTCGTTCGAGCTCGGCATCATCAAATATTTTCGAGCGCATGATGTACCGAACTCGGTCTGCCAGGTTTTGTTCCGTGACGGGAATAGACGGCTCCAGCTCAGCAAAAAAGCAATGCATCCGAGCCCGATACGCTATCCCCTTAGTTTCTTCCCCTTTCGCCCTATAGTACGCCCGCAATGCGTTTGCGTTCATATCTCTTGTCCAACGCATGCGGCGCACTCCACCAGCGGCGGATGCCGCTTGCCGAGTCCGAGAGGACCCTGCCGACATCAAGCCGTCTGGTGGGGATGATGGATGCGGGGGGCTGCTAGGTGATCTTGCAGCTCCTCGCGCTCGGCTGGCGGCCCGCATGCTGCCGCGTCCAGCGCCAGCTCCAGACGCGCCCCGGCGACCCCCAGGCAGCGGCCCTATACGCTTTCTAATCATATCCATCATCCATTTTTGGGCGCCAATTAACGGGAGACGCCCAGGCCCGGCACCGTTTCATTGCATCATTGTACGGCCGTAAGCACAAACGGACCTTTGCACCCTGAGTACTGCCGAGGCACGGCGCTCACACCTCTTGGCAAGGCGCTGACTGACTGCACCGACGTAGCAGTTTTGTCACTTAACTGTTTCGTCAGCGGGCGATGGGGTCGTCACTTCCCTACGCCTATTTATTATATTATTATTATTATGTGTGGGGTATCTATATAGTTTTCTCATCTGGTTGGGATGTATAAATATATAATTATAAATGAAAATGAAAGGATAAATATACATAAATATCAATAAAATAAAATAAATACAAAAATACATAAATAAATAAAAGCCCAACCAGATGGAGGCCCTCGGCAGGGGAGACCAAACGGCCGAGGGTTAGGGAGAAAGGGAAAGAAACCGGCGGACGATGCGGGCGGTATCGAGGAGCACCGCCTTCTGCATTTGAGCCCGGAGCGGTCCGTCACGGAGTCCCAGTCGCCTCAGATGACCAGAGAGGCTGACTGGGATTAGCCCGTTCGCAGAGACGACTACAGGAATAATTTCGGTCGGCAGACCACCCCACATGTCCGTCACCTCGTGAGCCAGGTCCAGATATTTTGTTTGCTTGTCTGTTTCGGCTTTCACGAGGTTCTCGTCATACGGGATGGTAATGTCGACCAAAAATATCCTTGACTGTGCCCGGTCCATCAGCACAATATCAGGCTTATTCGCAAGAATAGTCCTGTCTGTGATGATGGCCCGGTCCCAGTAGAGCCTGGCGCGGTCATTTTCGAGCACGGCTTCCGGCAAGTACTTGTAATACGGCAATTTCCGGTCCACGAGACCGTATTTCAGAGCGAGCTCCTGGTGTAGAATTCTGGCTACTAGGTTGTGCCTGTGCAAGTACTCAGAGTTAGAAAGCGCCGAACAACCGGAGATGACATGCCTAAGTGACTCCCCGGGATGGCGACAAGCTCGACAGACGTCGACGGTGCCATCCTTTAGGATGTATCTCCGATAGTTGTTGGTCTTAATAACCTGATCCTGTATTGCACAGACAAAACCCTCGGTTTCCCCCGAAGAGGTCACCGAAACGTAGCCAGTTGAGGGAGGCGACTGTATCTACGAAGGGCTCATGTAGAGCCTTGTAGTACCTCCCGTGGAGCTCCTTCTCCTTCCATACGGTCTCCCGGTCGGAATTGCTAAGCACTGCTGGGTCCTGCCATTGCTCGTTGGCTAAGGATAGAGGGGTAAGCCCTTTATCACTAGAAATGACGTCATTATAGAATGGATCATCCGATCTCGCCAAGAAGTACTGACGGAGACTGCACACTTCGCGATTATGCATGGTGAGCGCGCTCAGAAAGCCACGCCCACCATACTTTCGCGGCAAGTACAGCCTCATTACCGACGATCTCGGATGATGCATCCTATGGGACGTCATGGTAGTGCGGACTTTTCTATCCAGGGCGTTAAGCTCAGTCTGAGTCCACCTGAGTATGCCAAAGGTATACATGAGGACAGGCATGACCCAGCCGTTATATGCGTGTGTCTTATTCACACCGGACAAAAGGCTGTTAAGCACTTTGGTCAAGCGTGCATAAAACACGTCGCAAACTGACTGTTTCATACCAGCCTCATCGATACCGATGTTCTGTGACATACCCAGGTATCGGTATGTTTCAGCCTCGGAAAGGGTCCTTAAGTTGACGGGCATAGACAAGTCTATGCCCTCAGAGTTAGCAACCCTTCCCCTTTCAACATGGAGGACCGCACACTTATCCGTCCCCAGCTCCATTCCAATGGAACTGCTAAATTCACAAGTGATGTTTAGCAGTTCCATAAGATGGGAGCGACTGGACGCGAATAACTTGAGGTCATCCATATAGAAAAAGGTGGGTCACTTTTGTCCCTCCTTTCCGTAGCTGAAATCCCCTCCCGGAGCCCTCCAGTAAGGTACTGAGAGGGTTAAGAGAGAGGCAGAACCAGATTGGACTCAGACAATCGCCCTGGAAGATACCCCTTCTTATCCTTATGTGGTTCTCCGCAGCCGTCATCCGCTCGCCCAGATGACAAAGGATCGTACTCCACTGCCCCATACACTGCTCGAGGAAGTCTCTAACTGTACAGTCAATCTTGTACAGCTCGAGGACCCTCTTTAGCCATGTATGGGGCACCGAGTCGAATGCCTTTCTGTAGTCTATCCAGGCGGCAGAGAAGTTCCGACGGTTGCGTTTCACCACTTTGCCTATGACCGCGTCAATGAGGAGTGGTTCCTTAGTTCCACGACCACCGCCCCGACATCCATTTTGAGCGCGTGACATCACCTGGTTTAGCTCCAGGTGACGAGTGATTCTCGCGCTCAAAATGGATGTCAGTGTCTTATATATGGTGGGTAGACACGTGATGGGGCGGTATTTGCTCGGGTCTGTGGTATCCTGATCTTTAGGAACCAAGTGAGTGATCCCAGTAGTGAAGAGGCTCGGGAGTGACTTCTGGTCGAGAGCCTCTTGAAACTGTCGGGCGAGCACAGCGTGACACACTACGAACCCCTTCAGCCAGTAATGATGCAGCCCGTTGAGCCCCGGACTTTTCCAGTTCGGGGCCCTACGGACCGCCTCAGCCACGTCTTCTGGCGTTATGGTGATGGGGTCCATAGGCGTAACACTCGCACCCTGGCTCGCCACAACTTCCATCCAAGGGCCCTCACTGTGGTTTACGGGCTCTGACCACAGGCCACGCCAGAATGCGATAATGTCAGCCTGATCCGGTCCTTGGCCCGCTCCACATACCTTTGGTCGCTCCAATAATTTATAGAGCCTCTTCTGATCACTCTGGAAGAGACGATTCTGGTTGAACCGCCTTGACCCCTCGGAAAATCGTCGAATCCGCTTCCCCCAAGCAGCGATCTTTTGCTTCAGGTCGTCTATGCGCTCCGTTAGTTTCTGCGTGATATCCGGCTGGGACAAACTGATATTTGTCCCAGCAAACGCCATCCTAACGGTGCGCATAATCCTCGGTCTATTATTACCCGACCTGAAGCTTGTCAGTCTGCCGATAAGGGCCCTTGCCTTTGCGATACGGTCCTCGATTCTTTTCCTCCAGGCTGGGATGGCGTTACTTTGTGTAGTAGCGCGTCCAGCCATGGGAAGTTTGGCGCCAATAATACGGCAAACTGCCACTGCGGCGCCAAAGAGAATCGAGTCCGTCTCGCAAAGGTCCCGGCTGGCTTCCAAATAGGTCACCAGCATTGGGTTAAGAGCCCTCACGACAGCCCGATTTCGCTTGCTTAAGGGTATGCGGGGAAGTCGCGGTCGATTTTCGAGAGGGGTGCTGCGCGTTTCCAAAATCGCCTCTTCCAATATACTCCTCATTTGCTCTAGTTCGTGGGAGACTATTTCATCGTCGTTCGAATCAACCACAACTGGAAGATCCATGGCGGCTTCCACGTGTGGATGCTGGTCTGTCGAATGTGGAGCTGCATCTCCAGCCATAGCCGATTCATTCGACGACGGAATAGCCTCACGTCGTAGTCGTTCGAGTTCGGCATCATCAAATATTTTCGAGCGCATGATGTACCGAACTCGGTCTGCCAGGTTTTGTTCCGTGACGGGGATAGACGGCTCCAGCTCAGCAAAAAAGCAATGCATCCGAGACCTATACGCTATTCCCACAGTTTCTTCCCCTTTCGCCCTATAGTACGCCCGCAATGCGTTTTCGTTCATGGATTTTGTCCAACGCATGCGACGTGCTCCACCAGCGGCGGGTGCCGCTTGCTGGGTCCGAGAAGACCCAGCCGACACCAAGCCTTCTGGTGGGGATGATGGATGCGAGGGGCTGCTAGGTGATCGTGCAGCTCCTCGCGCTCGGCTGGCGGCCCGCATGCTGCCGCGTCCAGCGCCAGCTCCAGACGCGCCCCGGCGACCCCCAGGCAGCGGCCCTATGCGCGTTCCTTTTTGTGTTTCTTCCATCATCCATTTTATGGGCGCCAAATAACGGGAGACGCCCAAGCCCGGCACCGTTTCGTGGTTGGGTCATATGCACAAACGGACCTTTGCATCTACAATTTTGCCTAGGCACGGCGCTCACACCTCTTGGCAGGATGCTGACTGACTGCGCCGACGTCGCAGTTTTGTCACATAACTGTTACGTCAGCGGGCGATGGGGTCGTCACTTCCCTACGCCTTTTTATTATTTATTATTATTATTATTATTATTATTATTTTTGGGGTATCTGTATAGTTTTCTCATCGTTGGTTTCTATAAATATATAATTATAAATTAAAATGAAAAGATAAATATACATAAATATCAATAAAATAAAATAAATACAAAAAATACACAAATAAATAAAGATCCAACCAGATGGAAGCCCTCGGCAGGGGAGACCAAACGGCCGAGGGTTAGGGGGAAAGGGAAAGAAACGGACGGACGATGCAGGCGGTATCGAGGACCACCGCCTTCTGCATTTGAGCCCGGAGCGGTCCGTCACGGAGTCCCAGTCGCCTCAGATGACCCGAGAGGCTGACTGGGATTAGCCCGTTTGCAGAGACGACTACAGGAATAATTTCGGTCGGCACACCACCCCACATGTCGGTCACCTCGTGAGCCAGGTCCAGATATTTTGTTTGCTTATCTGTTTCGGCTTTCACGAGGTTCTCGTCATACGGAATGGTAATGTCGACCAAAAATATCGTTGACTGTGCCCGGTCCATCAGCACAATATCAGGCTTATTCGCAAGAATAGTCCTGTCTGTGATGATGGCCCGGTCCCAGTAGAGCCTGGCGCGGTCATTTTCGAGCACGGCTTCCGGCAAGTACTTGTAATACGGCAATTTCCGGTCCACGAGACCGTATTTCAGAGCGAGCTCCTGGTGTAGAATTCTGGCTACTAGGTTGTGCCTGTGCAAGTACTCAGAGTTAGAAAGCGCCGAACAACCGGAGATGACATGTCTAAGTGACTCCCCGGGATGGCGACAAGCTCGACAGATGTCGACGGTGCCATCCTTTAGGATGTATCTCCGATAGTTGTTGATCTTAATAACCTGATCCTGTATTGCACAGACAAAACCCTCGGTTTCCCCCGAAGAGGTCACCGAAACGTAGCCAGTTGAGGGAGGCGACTGTATCTACGAAGGGCTCATGTAGAGCCCTGTAGTACCTCCCGTGGAGCTCCTTCTCCTTCCATACGGTCTCCCGGTCGGAAATGCTAAGCACTGCTGGGTCCTGCCATTGCTCGTTGGCCAAGGATAGAGGGGTAAGCCCTTTATCACTAGAAATGACGTCATTATAGAATGGATCATCCGATCTCGCCAGGAAGTAATGACGGAGGCTGCACCCTTCACGATTATGCATAGTGAGCGCGCTTAGAAAGCCACGCCCACCATGCTTTCGCGGCAAGTACAGCCTCATTACCGACGATCTCGGATGATGCATCCTATGGGACGTCATGGTAGTGCGGACTTTTCTATCCAGGGCGTTAAGTTCAGTCTGAGTCCACCTGAGTATGCCAAAGGTATACATGAGGACAGGCATGACCCAACCGTTATATGCGTGTGTCTTATTCACACCGGACAAAAGGCTATTAAGCACTTTGGTCAAGCGTGCATAAAACACGTCGCAAACTGACTGTTTCACACCAGCCTCATCGATACCGATGTTCTGTGACATACCCAGGTATCGGTATGTTTCAGCCTCGGAAAGGGTCCTTTAGTTGACGGGCATAGATAAATGTATATATAGTATTATTATTATTATTATTATGTCACTATTGACTCTCGTAGAGAAACAGTTCTTTATTTCAATTCAATGGTTGTGGACTAAAAAGTTTAAAAGTTTCTAAACACACACACACACACACACACACACACACACACACACACACACACACACACACACACACACTTCACACATTACAAAGGGGGGATGAATTCTAAATTTAATACTACATAATACCTTCCTAGAGAATTTGAAAATGCCTTCAGTTTCAAGATGATACGTCATTCGACAAGTGTGAATAAACTTTCGTATTCCGATTGAGATCTGTTATCCGACAAGTATAGGAACGGGTTAGTAACTTTAATGAAAATAAGGCCCGAAAAAGATTTCCTAATAACATAATAATTACAATTAGCTTTACTGTAGCAATTTCAACATAACCTTAAATAAATAGCTCGAAGGAACAACAACCGATGGGGAAGAAAAGTTCTCATGTGGCAGTTCTATTAGCGCCGTGTTGGGTGAGTAATGGAGTAATGACTGATGAAAGATGCAGAGAGTCGATGGATGCAGGTCACTCAGGACTGTGCTATCTGCCAATCTAAGGGAAACGCTTATCTTCAGCAGTGGACTTGTGTTGGTTGAGCTGTAATGATGATGGTGATGAAGATCTTTAAAATTGATTGAGTTTTAATTGTAAGAAGCATAATTTAAAGCTGGCATCATTGAAATAGTTCACTATCCCGTGCTTGGGTTTTAAGTTGTCCTGTCGGAATTTGCATAAAAAAATTATAATAATAATGTCTCCCAGACCTAATTTCAGTCACGGTGCCCAGTCTCAAGTAGATTAGCAGCATTTATGCAGGACAGGATTGTATTGCCCAAAGTGTACCTATGTGCAAGCACAGGTGCACTCTTTATTACACTTTCTCCTGCACGGCCGGAGAGAGATCAGGGCACCAACGGCTTTATCACTAACTTTCTGAATTCGGACTGCTACTGAGAATTTCTTGACAGAAGAACTCAATAACCAATTTAGGCACGACCCGGGATTCGAATCCGGAATCTTATGATCAGAATTGTTTACAACCACTAGACCAACGAGGTATTGCTTTTATTATTACAAATAAGGAATATAGAAGGGTCGGTAACCCTTACCAAAACAGACCTAAATAACTCATAATTTAATGTTCTTACTAATTTTAGGCCCCTCTTGGATAAATTTTAAGATATGCGATAAAATATGTAGGAAAATGCATTTTCTTAAATTACTCTTTGCTTCGTCTGTTTCTTTCAAACGACCAACTGACCTATATTTAACGTGCTTCAAGTTAAGAGCAGCATGAAGCTCACAATTGCGTGAAAAAGGAACAAAAGGAAGCCGGATTAGTAAAAGATTCGTGCCTTACAAATAATCTCGCTTGCCTGACACAGCTGTGCAAGTATACAAAAATACGACATTGACTTGAGTCGGTAAATTAGATAAAGTAGTCGCAACTAAATATTAAAAAAATAAAAGTAATAAGAAACTTATTTATTTCTTCCTCATTCTCAAGTTACAGTAACATTTTTTTTAATATAGAATAAGAGTGACAAACTTGCACGCAGTTCACCTGATGCTAAGTGGATTTTGTGACCCATAGACATCTATATCTACCCTCGATTAAGAAATAAAATGCATTTGCGTTTTCCCTAAGGTCTAATACGAAATGCGTTGTTTCCAGTAAAAACGGTCTCCGGTTCTCTATGGTCATCATACGAAAAACAGCAGAATTAAGCTGCTATATTATTACGTTGGTATTCTGTGGGACAAAAGTCCTTCCCCGGTGGAGCCGAGTCATTCGTCCTACAACCATAATATAACTGCAGCGTGACTCTACCCCGTACAAAAAATATAACGTCATATGGAAATACTATGTAGCTCACCTAGTTGACAATGCGGTCTTTAAGTAGGCGACGCAAAGAATTTTACTCTGAATTCACTGCGGACAGCAGGTAAATATAAAATTAATAATAACTCGACCATAGCGCCACGTATCCGGTCCAGATTTAGTGATACTCATTTTCGATGCTAAGCCAATATGGATATGAGTCGTTTTGTTTCATAAAATATAGAATTTGTTGATAGCTTGACTACAGCGCCACCTGTCCGATACTAGCATAGTATGCATATGAAAAATCAATCCCTGAAGTCGTTAAAAGTTATACGATCGCTAGTAGTACCAACGTATTTAAGTGCATGCCATACTTCCGTATAATGTTACTGTAACTTGCTGTCTACGGATTAATATAATTGTCTATTTTACTCTTTATTTTAGACTTTTTATTGTTATAAATTACATTCCACATAACAATAAAAGTATTTAAAGATTGTTTTTTTAATATGCTTTTATTTTGGTTTGACCTGTTTATAGCTTTTTTATTCAGTTTTAAGCTCTGAGAGGTCTGAATAATATGAAATTATAGAGACGTATTTAACAACCGATGACAATATTATAATGACTTCATGGTTATGACCTAGTATTTTCGCTATGATCATCAACGCTCATAATCAATTCGTATGATTTAGTAATAAAAATATTATTTTATTATATTGAACTAATAGCGTCGTTAATCACAAACAACTAAAGTCAAAGTCGTCGTAACATAAGCGTAAAGTGAAAAGTGAAAGCGAAGCGCGGTGCGTACCTAACTCACCGTCGTGCATCGGATCGATGGTATGTATCATTAGCTGCAGCAGACCGTGGCGGAACTTGGCGGTGGGTGGTGGCACTTTGCTGGAGCCAGCCGTAGCAGGTGCCGTGGCTGTCGCAGTGTTGGTGCCCACTGACGTCTCACTTGACGTGGTTGCGTTGCCGTGCTGTAGAGAAAATATTCATTGTTACATAATATATATATATTTATACTTATAAAAGATCTACGTTCTAATTTGTTAAAATACTTAAAATTGGTTTTATTTTATTTCATTTTATACTTTTCGGAAAACTTACAGCTAACATTAACAATAAATAAATGAATAACAACTAGAAAGTCATTTAAAAGTTTTCACCTATAGACATTATGAACTTAAAAACAATAATTCTAGTCGGTAAAACATAAACATCGATTAAGACAAATACAGTAAATTAACAAAATTAATTTTTTTTGCTAAAATATTTTTGATTCGATAAACACTGGTATTAAACAAATCCAAGTCAACGCTATTGGAGATGTGGTTAAAAGTTCTACATGCACGTATCATAAAAGATTTTTG